GCTATGGCCCCTAGTTATCTTTCAGGTCTGGAATTAAACTCATTCCTGTGACTTCCAGCCAAACAACAGACAGGCATATAGGGTGAATGTTTACAACTGGTAGATATACTCCTTAGAACAATCAATCATGGGAGAACAGAAGTGCAGTGTTTGCACAGGGAGACAGCTCAGGGGGCAGGAGCACATAGGAAAGAAGGACACAGGGAAGAGGTAACTACAGGGAGGAAGTGGGAAGAGAGCTGTTATATTGTGGGAAATTGCAGTCAATGTCATGAAATAAAATGGGTATGGACTGCTGTATGGAAAATGAATTTGCTCCGTAAATTTTCACCCAAATCACAATAAAAATTTAAAAAGAGGGGGAAAAAAAGATGTTATCATTGGATGCAAGACCAAAAGGGCAGCATTTGCTCAGAAACAGGAGTCAGAAGGCAGGGAGAAGCAGAAAAGGAGGATGAACGGAAACGGGGAGCCCCGAGAGGAAGCAGGGAAAGCGCCATTACAATGAGGGCACTGCAGCTGATGTTACAGAAGAAAACGTGTAAAATACTGGAATGGAAAACCAATTTTCTCTGCGATCTTTCATCCAAACCAAAATGTTTTAAAAAAGAATACAGAGACCCCGCGTACCTCCTCCCAGGTTCCCAGTGGTGTTCTCTTGCCCTGTTGTAGCACAGCATCGCCAAGATGGCGAGGTGACACTGACTCAAGCGAGACACAGAACACGTCCATCAGACGACTCTTCACGCTGCCCTTTCAGAGCCACGCCCCTCTCTCCCCCTACCCCCGGCAACCACAATCTGTTCTCCACCTCTCTAATTCCGTAATTTCAAGGATGTGAGTAAACGGAATCATGACGTATGGACCTTTGGGCGTTTTTCCCACTCAGCGTAATTCTCTGGAGATTCGTTATCGCTCAGTAGTCTTTCTATGGATTACTGGGTTGTTTACCATTTACCTGCTAAAGGACACCTGGACTGTTTCATTTTTGGTCATTACAAATAAAGCTGATACAAATATTTAAATAATAAAAAAAGATGTTACCATTGGGAGAAACTGGGTCAAAGATACAAGGAATCTCTTGAATTATTGCTGATAACTGCAGGTGAATCAACAATTATCTCAAAGTTTAATAATTAATTTAAAAAGCCCTGCATTTACTTTTAGATTATAAATAATCTATTTTAATGACCCCTAACGACCAAGATGGAAGCTCTAGTGGCGTAGTGCCTAAGGCATCTGACTGCTAACCGGAAGGCTGGCATTCACACCCACCAGCCACTCCTTGGAAGGAAGGCTGGGCAATCTACTTCCATAGTGATACCACCTCAGAAACCCAAGGAGGGGTCCCTATGAGTTGGATCCGACTCCACGGCAGTGGGTTTCACAACCAAGGTAACTATTAAGGTCATAAATAAGTACCCTTTAGTAAAATGAGTTCTGGTAGCACAGTGCCTAAAGCATCTGACTGCTAACCAGAAGGTAGTTGGTTTAAATCCATAAGTCACTCTGTGGAAGCAAGACTAAGCAATCTACTTCGGTAGATATTTACTGCCTTGGAAACCCAATGGGGGTTGCTATGAATCAGAATCGACTCAATGGCAGTGGGTTTGGTTTTGGTTTTTTAGCCACCAAGGTAACTATTAAGGTTACAAATAAGTAGCCATTAGTTACAGACAAAACCAAAAACCCACGGGTGTGCCCATGATGCTCCAGGAACCCAAGTGGGTCTGCATTTGAGGTCTGTTGGCAGCCTGTTGGGAGACACCCTGTGTCCCACCAGAGGCACTGGACCACACTGGAGATTTGCTCATCCATCACCGCCCAGGAGCCTGACTCACCAGCACCGGACAGGCACAACAGTTAATGGATCCAGGGCTTGAGTCCTCAGTCAGGCTGAAAGGCACGACCCAGGCACGATGGCTATGGTTGTGTGAAACAGGAGGCGGAAGTGGGCAGGAGCGTGAGTTTACTGCTCCAACCGTAAGCACGTGGGAGTTGCCCAGTATACTCCATGTCTGTACGTAATTGTTAAAAGCAAGCCAGGAACGAAAGCTCAGTCATTTGCTGACTTGCCACTGGGTTTCAGTCCAGAAATGAAGCCATGGACATAACCATTTTCCAACCCCCGACACCTCTGCTGCTTCTCTTGCAGCCAAGTTGGAGGCCAATCTGCAGTGAAGACGTCTTGGGGTGCTTGGCCCAGGAATAACCCATCTATCTCCCGTGAAGACCCTCCCACACCTCACCTGAACAAGGGTTCTCCCGGGTACACATCATGCTCATTCTCCCAGGAACAACCACGTACACGGCTGGCCCGCCGTACCAGTAATTTATATTTCCAAATGGAATTCCTCTGGCAGCTGAGAAGTTAAGCAAAACAGAAACTCTTCTAAGTCACATGTACAGCTGCTATCCACCGAATAATTAATGGTTGATAATCACTACCTAAAGGAGCTCTAGGAGCTCTGGTAGTATAGTGCCTAAAGCACTTGACTGCTAACCAGAAGGCTGGCAGTTCAAACCCACCAGCCACTCCTCAGAAGGAAGGTTGGTCAATCTACTTCTGTAGTGATACCGCCTCAGAAATCCAAGGAGGGGTCACTATGAGTTGGGGCTGACTTGATGGCACATAACAACAACAACAAAGGAGCTCTAAGGAGCTCTGGTGGCCTAGTGCCTAGGGCATGTGACTGCTAACCAGAAGGGTGGAGGTTCAAACCCACCAGCCACTCCATGGAAGAAGACTGGGCAATCTACTTCCGTAAAGATTTACCACCTCGGCAACACAAGGAGGGATCGCTATGAATCAGATCTGACTCCACAGCAGTGAGTTTGGTTTAGTTTGGTTTCAGGGCCTGGCGTCACACCTACCATGACAGGTATTCTGAAAATATTTCCAGGTGAGGATTCTAGCAAGTTGGCAAGATAAATCTTTTTTTCTTTTTTAATGGAAGGGCAGTGTGGGACAGAACAAACAGTACAGGCTTGAGAATTGAACAGACCTGATTTCAAATTAGAGCTCCATCACCTATCAGCTTCACCAGTTGTTCAGTGCCGTCGAGTCGTTTCCGACTCATAGCGACCCCATGTACAGCAGAACGAAACACTGCCCGATCCCACGCCAGCTCCATGATCCCTGCTATCCTTGAGCCCATCATCTCAGCCATCGTGTCAACCCATCTCGTTGAAGGCCTCCCCCTCTTTCGTCGACCCTCCTCCACCCTACCAAGCATGACATCCTTCTCCAGGGAATGGTCCCTTCTGACAACATGACCAATAGGCTTCTGTAAAGTAAGCCTATTACATGACCAGGAGGCTTCTGTAAAGACTGACAGACTTGGAAACGCTATGGAGTTCTACACTGTCGTGTACGGTCACTGTGAGTCAGAACAGACTTGATGCCAATGAGTTTGTTTTTGGGGGTATTTTTATTGCTGAAATGAACATTGGTGTGCATATGTCTGTTTCATCACACTTCTAAGTCTCTGGGCATAGATCTAGGAATGGGATTGCTGGGTCATATGGGAGTTCTATTTTTAGTGTTTTGAGGCACCACCACACTGTTTGCCAAAAAGGCTGTACCATTTTGTATTCCCACCAGCAACTGGTAAGGGTTCCAATTTCCCCACGTCCTCCCCAACATTTATTATGCCCCTCCCTTTTCCTTATCTTAGCCGCCCTAGGGGAGTGAGTGGTGCCTCACTGCAGTTCTGACTGCAGTCTCTGATGGCTAATGGAGTTGAGCATCATTTCATGTATTTGTTGGTCATTTGCCTTTCTTTTAAAACTATGCTCTGGAGTAGGAAATAGAGCTGCCATATGATCCATCAATCCCACCACTAGGTACATGTCTGAGAGCAATAAGCACCACGACACAAACAGATGTACGCACAGCCACGTTCACTGCAGCATTATTCACAACAGCAAAAAGCCGGAACCTCGTTCGCCCATCCCTGCCTCATGGCATCAGTGGCAATGGGTTTTCTGACTGAGTGGACGTCCTTCGCTCTCCCTCCTGGTGCTATGCCTCATGTGTGGTCTTCTCTACAGTGGGGAGGGCCATCCTGCCTGCCGCACATGCACTTCCCTGGGTGCTCGAGTACACCTCAACCGGACCCCCTGTGGTGGCCCTGGCGTGCTCCCCTCGCTCTAGACCTACTTGGAGCATCTGGTCCAGGACCAGCACTGGACGCAGAGCCTGCCTCAGGACCTCCTCCAGCAACAGCAACGGACCCAAAGCTGCAGCTCCAGCCATAGGGCCTCCTTGTCCCTCACCTGAGAAGGTATCTCTTTTCTTGGTAATATTTGTCTTTTATTATATTTATCATTTAGTCCATTTTAAGTTTTAGATTTGACATAAAACAAAATTTTGTGTTTTGATCATTTAAAAAACAAACAAATAAAAATAGAAGCTCTGTTTGATCATAACAAGTTCCACTGGTGTGACGAGTGTAGAGACTTCCTGACCTCTAAGATGCACTACCACCAGACTCTGGTAAGAGAAACAAGAGGCAGAAGGTCTTCCTTTTAGGAGATTGAATTCTAATGGGGGAGGGGAGACAGGTAAGTAAAGAAAAACTAGTTCACAGTCTAGTGAGAGCTTTAATGTTGTTGTTGTTGTTATGTGCCGTCAAGTCAGACCTGACTCACAGCAACCCCTCCTTGGGTTTCTGACACAGTATCACTATGAAGTAGATTGCCCCATCTTCCTTCCGAGGAGTGGCTGGTGGGTTTGAATTGCCAGCCTTCTGGTTAGCAGTCAAATGCCCTAGGCACTACACTACCAGAGCTTTAATAGTAGATTTTAAATGTCCTAGAGGAGCAACTGAAGATGCAAATCAAACTGTGCTAGGAAGAGTATGAAAAGGCCTGGCTGACAATGTAATGACGGAGCTGGATCTCAGTGTAAGACTACAGCTTTGCCAGGTAGAGAAGAAAGAAAAGAGACACAAGTTGGGAACGGCATGGAAAAACGCCTGGGGACATGGTGAAGCACAGGGTGGCTGGAGAACGCTGAGAAATTCGGGATGGTGAGATTATGTGGGAAACGTAGGAGAGAAGCTGAAGGGAAGGTGTGGGGCCCATCAGTACAAGATGGGGATTCACCTGAGCTTTCTGAGAGTGTTCTTCTGCAGGGAGGTGCAACCTGGGGTCATTTTCAGCCTGATTCCCAATTGTGATTCAGCATTCTTCCTCCCACACAGCCCAGTGGATCTTCAGAACTTGGCCCCTCTCAGCAGCTCCTGCCTGACAGACTTGGCAATGTTTAGAGTCTAGCAGTAGGTGGAGTCTCAAAGTGGTCTAGGCTTGGACCCAAGTCGCTGACGATTCTTCAGACATTAGCCCACAGGGAACCTCAAAAGGCTAGGTAACCTCCAGGAGGCAAAGCTTTCACTGCTCTGAGCTCGTTTATCACACTCAGGTCAACTAGCAGAGCTGCACTGTCCAACATGGTAGCTCCTGGCCACAGGTGGCAATTTCATTTAAATTAATCACATTTAAATAAAATGTAAAATTCAGTGCCTCAGTCGCACCAGCCACATTCCAATGGGCAGAGCTAGTAGTTTCTGATTGGACACTGACAGAAAGCGTTCCGTCACTCCAGGAAGTCCTAGTGGACAGTCCTGGTCTAGAACACGGGCTTTCAACTGGGGTCCTGCTTACTAGCCCACTGTCTCCAGGGGCCCAAGAGGCACAGAGAAGCCCCCCTTCCCACCGTGGCCCAGAGAGAGATGCAGCTTCGGCAGCTCCCACAGGCCCTACGGCTTCCACTCTGGGTGTCCCCACCGACCATGCTGACTGCTCTCGACCTGGATTCTGAGCACTGACAGCCCCTCAAAGTTGCTGCCTGACACAGGCTCCTCATTCCAAACTGGTCTGCTCACTTATTCCTCAGAAGCTGATCACTCCCGAGCTTAGAGGACTTCTTCAGCAGGCCTCCTTTAAACCTATTACAGCTGCGCCCCTAGCAGAGGCCGGAGGCCTAGGACGTCAGGCTAGGAAACTCCAGACCCCAAAGGGCAGGTGAAGACTACAGAGCTGTGTGATGGGGCAGAAGCCTAGACATTCCTCTGTCCCCTACAGGTCACGATGAACCCAGAGGCAACCCTCAAGGAACACCTCAGGGACTAGGTTGGGAGAGTAGTGGCTTAGAAGCCAGACAGATAGGGGTTCAAATCCCAGTGAATTAGAACACACTGACTTCACTGTACCCAGTGATTTACTAAGTGAAACCTGGGGCAAGTCAAGTTCACAGCCTCAGTCTTCCCTTATGTAAAAGTGGTACACCACCACCAGCCTCACAGGGGTTGCTATCAAGACTGCAGATGACGTTTGTAAAGCACTCAGCAGAGAGTCAAACCCAAACCCACAGCCATCGAGTTGATTCCAACTCACAGCAACCCCCACTGGGTTTCTAAAGCTGTCAATCTTTACGGAAGTAGACTGAATCATCTTCTTCCCGCAGAGCAGTTGGTAGGTTTGAACTGCCAACCTTCTGGTCAGCAGCCAAATGACTTACCCACAATACCACCAGAGCTCTTAAGAACTAGTCCACAGTAGCCATTATCACCATCATCATCATCATCATCATCACTACCACAAAGAAGAAACAGAGTTGCCTACTAACTCGTCAGAGCCACTCACCACCGCAAGGGGTCTATTCTATGCTCACCTAGAAGGGCCACTCTTGGGCTTTACCCAGATTCAGGGAAATGTTCCCTTGTATCCCTTGAATTGCCTTAAAGCCTGTGACAGCCTTGAAGTCAGCAGCTGCATCTAGTGAACCCAGCTATCTGTTCCAAGAACCCACGCCTAGGACCAGAGACACCCAGAAATCCTGGGAGACATGCAGTCTGCCTGGGGTCCCACCCACAGGAACACTGCCTCCTTCCTGAGCCTGACCCTGAGCCCACGGTAGCATGTCGAGATCTGGCTATGTGACCCCCAGGAGGGCACTGTAGAGACCAGCCTGCTGAAGCAAGCCCTGCAGGGACAAGCAGGAAACTTGTCAGCTCTAACAACACCAGTGTCTTGACAATTTGTCGGAGACCGGGGCACCTCACCCAGGGCGAGCTCCTGTGAGGGACAGAGAAGCGGAGTTAAACCTGGCTATGACACACACTCTCTGCCTTCAGTACCGGTCTGGACCCAGATTGAGATACAAAAAAAGGAAAACCTGTTCACACTGAATAATAAAAATAGGTAAGTAACATTCATCAAGTGCTTACTATGGGCCAGGTATAGTAATCCTCACAACGACCATATGATGTTACTATTATTGCTCTAGTTTCATAGATGAGGAAACAGAGGCTCAAAGAAGTTGTGTGACTTGCTGAAGGTCACCTAGCTAGTCAATGGC